CAATTGCTTCTTCTTTTGAATCGTCAGCATGTTCATGCATGACAATAATATCAAATGGGAAGACACACTCAACTTTAACATGATGAAGCGTTGGGATGTGCAAGATGGTGGGGGAATGAAGCAGGTTAAACGTAACAGGTTGCATCTGTCAATAAACCCAAACCCCTAAAAATCCTAACATATGCAACGTTGCAAAATGTTCATATAAACCCGTAAGGTGCGTACGCATGAATAAATAAGTAAAAACCGTGTCGAAATTACAAAACTGCAAATGTTGTGTACATCATTTCAAATGTAGACCGAGAGAAATATGCGTGAAACAAACATGGCCAATGTTAATATTTTAGACGGCAAGATAACAATTCCACCAGACCGGACTTGCAGGCGCCCCTCAGTAATAAAGCCACTAATTGATGAAACATATCAGAGTATCACTTGGTTAGCTACTACCAAACCTGGACTTATCCTTACAAGAGTTTAAAGGATCTTCGATTAGTTAATAGTTACTGGTTAGTTGAACTGTTCGGAAGATAAGAAATCAGTAATCCAGAACAATGAAAACATCATCAAACGTAGAGGTCACTAAAATGAAACCACTATTGAGTATTCGACTTTTCATAAAGTTGGAACGCACAAAAGATGGTTTTACAGATTAATTTGCCATTTGCAATGTCCAAGCTAGGATTTTCCAGATGTTGTGGGAAACCTGAAGGAAGAATGTCATGTAAACAACACTAACCAACCAGAACACAAACATATGGACAACCTTATAAAAAATATCGCACACCGATCCTAATTGTTACTTTTACTGAAGAGAAGAATGGAATAAATTGCAAGCAAGGTGAATATAGATTGAAATAGAATACGAATGAGAACGCTCAAAGTCAAAGGGTCATGCAAAAAACTCAAAAAAGTTTTTTCGAATTATACCACTTTCTTACTATTATAATAAATGGCTGATGGCCGAGGGGATGCGTTTAGAGAGGACCATGGGTACTGTTGCATTAATAGATGCTGAGTGGCCAAATTTAGGAAAACAAAAACACCCTTTTTCAAAGAATGTGATGTTTACACTTGTAAACACTCTCATGAACCGATACTCGTATACCCCAGGGGATGGGCCGATTCTGATTTAACACCATACATTATTCGCACTTATCGTCCCCCTAGAATAATTCCATGTTAGTGATGTTCTGAACACCGATTAAAGTGAAAATATATGAACTGTCTCAAGTAAAACAGTAATGGAATCAAACCTCAGGATAGAAATTTAAGATATATAATCGATTTAATTTTCGAGAGCAATTTGATGTTAGATTTAAGTGGAAAGATTCTGACCTCAGTGACATATATCTCGAGGTTCCACACCTGTTTTACATACCTAACTGGCTTTGAATTGATAAGCACCTCAGACATATTTCACCCTAAGTATAGAGCTATAAATACCGATTCACCAGATGGTAACCCTTGCCAAAATCGTCATTTCAAACAATCTTAAATGGTTGAGAAAAAGATGAAAGTTAAACATGTTGATTGTAGGGCTAATACTAATGGTACGTTCACACCAACGGCGCTTTGATGGCGCTTTAAAAATGCTTGTAAAGCGGCACCAAAGCGTAACAAAGCTTAATTAAAGCGTCGGGGTCGTAATAGGTCGTAGAAAAGCTCGGGAGTAAAGCGGGATATTCGGCAAGAGCGCTAAAAAATTTAAACTGTTTAAGCGTTCGCACCAACGGCGCTTTGATGGCGCTTTAAAGCGGATTGTAAAGCGGCACCAAAGCGTAACAAAGCTTGATTAAAGCGTCGGGATCGTAATAGGTCGTAGAAAAGTTCGGAGTAAAGCGGGATATTCGGCAAGAGCGCCAAAAAATGTTAAACTGTTTAAAAATTTTGAGCGCTCTGTTACGAATTGATTGAAGCGCCGAGAGCGTATCAAAGCTTAACAAACCGTAACAAAGCTCAACAAAGCTTGACTCAAAGCGTAGGAAAGCTTAACACAGCTTGGTTCAAAGCGGGGACCCCAGTCTATTCACGGTCTGTTACCACTTGACACGCTTCGTTAAGATGTCTCAAGATTTGCTACGATCTGGCATGAAGATCTGACACGAGGTCAGACGCTTTCATCAATATCTGACACTCTTTGTTACACTTTCCTGAGGGACTCTCAAGCTTTCCAACGAATTGAGACGCTTTAATCAAGGATTGAAACGCTTTGCTAGGCTTTGTTACGCTTGAAAGTTTTCACACGCTATATCACGCCGTGCGACAAACGTCATGTGTTCTTCAGATAGGTCATGCTCTGGTCCATCTGGAATTTCTGGATCTCGTTGTTCTGCCATCGTGTTCTCGAGTCAAAGATGCAATGGTTTTATGGATCTACTGCATCTTTATATAGTCATTGGATCAAAAGCGGCATGGAATCGGCGATCTCGACATTTTCCAATGCGTGACAGAGCTTAACAGAGCGTAACAATGCACAACAGAGTTTTGCAATCGTATCAGAGCCTGATTTAAAGCGTCATAATCGCATCAAAGCGTAATAATGCTTATCAAAGCTTTTCAAAGCGTGATTTCAAGCGTAACAAAGCCTGATCAAAGCGGGATCAAAGCGTGAGGAACCTTTTAGAGCTATGTTAAGCTTTCCTACGCTTTGGATCAAGTTTTTCTGAGCTTTGTTACGGTTTGTTAAGCTTTGATACGCTCTCGGCGCTTAATCGATTCGTAACAGAGCGCCCAAAATTTTTTAAGAGTTTAAAATTTTTTGGCGCTCTTGCCGAATATCCCGTTTTACTCTGAGCTTTTCTACGACCTATTACGACCCCGACGCTTTAATCAAACTTTGTTACGCTTTGGTGCCGCTTTACAAGCCGCTTTAAAGCGCCATCAAAGCGCCGTTGGTATGAAGAAAAATGACAAAAATGACGGCGCTTTGCTCGCCGATTTAAAGCGTGGCATTCGCCGTTGGTGTGAACGTACCTTAACACCACCCTTTTAACGATCTTGAGGTCTCAAAACGTCGTTGGCGATTTTACGATGTGTTAATAAAGAGACGGTGAAATATAAATTCACGAAGAGTTAGATTAATCACATTGTGTCTACAAAACACAAACAGGAATGTGTGCAGATTACAGCTCTATTTTTGTAATTGTCTGTACTAATAATGTGGATTATACAACTATTATTGATTGGCAGTTATGCTGTGTCCCCTAAGTGGGCGTGGTCGTTTACAATGCTTTAAGGGGACGAACAAAAAATACCCATTTGAACATTAAATAAGTATAGCAATACGTTTGAGTTTATCAAAAACCTATAAATTATAAGTTATTAATTAAATTGAAAGCTTCCGATGCTTGTGAGCAAGAATAGATGTATCAATTTGCTACATACATATTTTTATTGTAATGTGTATACACATTTGCAGTTATCCGGATTATTATCCGATAACAGATAAGCATGATTGCGCTTAATTTGCTACAAAACAAATGACAATTAAAGGTGTCCGCTTTCTATTCTAATGCTTCCTGTTATCTGTTCTATTTCTTGAAGAAAACTGTAACGCACACGGGGCAACTTCAGAAAAATCATAGTTCATAAAATACACCAGTGTGATAAATTATTCAATTAGCAAAGACAATTCGTCAAACCTAATCTCGAAATATGCGTTGACTCTTCACGATATCGCATCCTGGTACCATCACGGGCATCAGAAAATTCAGAAAATTGTTTTTAAATCGTCTTCAAAAAGCAAAAAATATTTTTATAAAGTCATAGTGCAAAATATAACACTGGATTGAATGTTAAGACGTGGCTTATCTCGAGTACATAAATCAAACCCTATCAACAGATGCTAAACCTCTTGACGCCAATAACAAGATCACCCTTTAAATCCACATTTAGAGATGCTTTCATTGAAATGTTGATCGGTGCTGAAGGATCAAATGGTAAATTGTGAGCCTAAACCACCTGCTTTACATCGTTAATGTACCTCACACAACAGTTTCGAAAAACCCTTGCCAATCAAATTCCTATCAAAAGAATTACACACAGATCAAGATGTTTTTGCTAGTTTTCTGGAAAGCTTTTGAATAAAATGTCTGGCTTTGTGGAGTCTCTATGCCGTTTAGAATCAAGACGTCATTTATGTTCTCTATCATCTTTAACAGCCTTTTCTTCAAAGTCTGCTCGGTAAAACAAAATGTGTCGGTGATTTTTTCAATGAGGGTTATCCAATATAATTCAACCCAGCAAAAAGAAGACACGCTGATCGGAACAGACGAAATGATAAAAACGTGACTCCCAGCAAACGTGTGTATACTACCCCTTTAAATATACGAAATTAATATAATCGTGTCCATTTACATCGCATTAGGTGAACACAATTAGATTGTAAAATGCAAGAGAATCAACCAAACAGGAGCTGACCTCAAGTCGACATCTTGACATATGCCTGCTATTACGCTTTGTTAATACATAGCAATTAAAGTAATTATAATTAAAACATCGGTTAATTTATTTTATTGATTAATTTGCTCCTGTCGACGTAATGTTATAAACTCGCGTGTAATATCGAACAGACGCTAATTTGAAAATGATTCTCTTGAGATTTTGTGTTTAGTAACTCCTATTTTGAAGAAACACTGATTGGGTATTAATGCTCTCACACCTACACAACCTCAGCACTCCTTTTTGACGAAAGCAGGACCATTGTGGCAGAGCACTGACCATATCATTCATCATCTCACATTCCAATCTACACATGTACATACAACTCAGTCACTGCCAAGATTTACGTTTTAAAGACCTAAATTACTGAAATTTGACAAGATTAACCGAAATAATGTGTAATTTACACATAGATACTTTTTCAACTGTGTTGATGGTCCATGTATGCTCCAAATCGGCAAAGCTCGAGGGATGTGCCCCACCCAATTTGACCCGCTAACCCAATCACCACTCTCCATGAATACAACACAACAGACAATAAACACAAAAATACACACCGTGCTCGTATCGAGTAGTTGTGTGCCCCTCAATGACGTCGCCTGACCCTCCCCTCCGTTTGTATCGTGTTGGTGCAACTATCTACGCAGTCGGCGAATGATTCCCGACTCTGGTCATGACTATAGTCCAAGTCTGCAAGTCTAGCAAGCGCCAGAATATAACTGCAAGCTATCCGTAATATTGCAAGCTTTGAAAGTTTTTGATTATAAGAATAAGATGGCACTGCTCGTCGCAAACTATCAAAGGCTGCACTGATTGTGTGGACGCGAGATCGTTCACGGGCGTTGGCTTCTACCCGACGTTCTCGGGTCATGTTTTTATAATTTTTCCGTCCCCGTTTACCCCTCCCGTCGCCATCATCCTCAAATGAACTATTTGCGCTACCAGGTCTTGGCGATGGACCTTCTGACCCGGGATAGCCAAACCTCGGAGTTGTATACGGGCCCATCCCCGAGTAAAATGATTGCGGATGTGGGACAGGTACCCTAAAGTTCTCTGGTATAGTTGGAATATAACGTCTCTGGGTATGAGGTTCATCTTGTTTTTTCCTAGAAACAGTCATATTTACTGGTTCATCTTGGCTTGTATCCGGGCTGCTATACAAACTCCCCCGGGTTGGATCCGGACGGTCTTCACCATCCCGATTGACGTGTTCGTAGTCCGCCTCTCCCGTGCTCCCACCTGCATCACTGGTTGAGGAGGCGGGGCTCTCGGGACAAAATCTCTTAATACTAAAGTCTGTTCTTCTCCTAGGTGAACTCATTTTCCGTTTATTTTTTCTTGTCTCATGTTCTGATTTAATCGTTCCTGGTTCCACCTTAATACACAAAGGTTGAGAAGCGAGACTCCCTCCAAAATCCGGAACTGGAGGCCCGCGGGAAGGAGAGGAAACTCGCTGAATCTGACAGGTGTCCGAGTTGCCCTCCGCCATAGCAATAGTCTGATATGTTGGGATGTTCGACCAGTAATCTCAACCGGTTAATGCTCAATACACTGCACAGCTTAGCTTGCTTGCCAGATGGCTAACGTTAAAGCATTCTCCAGCACATCTGAGCGTGTTATTTATTGACTAATCGCATTCAGATGCCCATCTTTCATACAAGTAATTGAAGCCTATAAAAATATCTGCTTTTCTAGAGGAAATTGTCCATCGGAGCGTATAGCTTGTGTGTTAAAGATCTACCTCAATTTGAACTGTGTTCGATAGCCTCCCGATCAAGCTTTCAGAGACCTATTGAGCAGATCTATTCAATCACCAGTAGTGCTCATTCAAAGTTTGTATAGCCAGTATAATAGGCTGCCAGGTGCGCTGAACGTCATTTAAATATACATAAGTCGCTCAAAGCAAATTCGATATTTGATCGAATTTATAGTGGTTAAGGCGGATCAATGTGAATAAGGGGTGTAGGCCTTTATCGCGTGTCACTTATCAATGAAATACAAAATCAGTGTAATGCTAATTTTTACTCCTAAAGTTAATGCAAGCCGACAAGTTCCTAGTCACAGTGAGTACTGTCAAGTTATCTCATTGATTTAGTTCTAATATGCTCATTGGCGTGCCACACCGCGCCAAATTGTTGATTTAACATAGGGTTAAATCACATGCTTTAACAACATTGTTCAGTGAGTAATGAGATTGGACTTTAAGAAGCAACCACCCCTCATGTATAAATGAACTTAACCACAATATCTGATAAGGCTTAGTAAGTTTAACATCTGTTGACTAGCTCAATCAATTAAACCTTGCATTTCGCTAAATATTTTAATTAAAAGCCTTTCACTATATTAACAAACGAATTATCGCAGAAAAAACAACTCATTGCGACGGAACGTCGTCACGCCACTAAACATAACAGTGCTATTATAAATTGCTTCTTTGCAAAATCAATATCGGAAATAATTTTCATATCACTGTTGTTCATAATACAATACAACTGAAGGTAAAATAAACAGTCTGTAGTTGGCGACTTGACTTTAAAAGTTATGAAATTGCATTACAAAAACATTATAAAGATGCTTGTAATAATTTGATAAATATCTAGATAACAAAATTCAAAACAGAAGCACGAAATGATGTATTTCTTAAAACAACAACATATTACATTACCATTGTGTTTTAAACAGTAAATTATCTTATTTTGGATTGTGTCGCAGAACACTGCCTGGACAGTCTCTAATGCCAAACACCAGCACAATGAAGAAGGCTTCACATCACCAATTATCTGATCAGATCTTGCCCCGACCCCCCCCCCCCCCACATAATGAGCCTTTATGAGCCTCAAACTGGGCCTCATGTTGAGAATTAGGACATTTTGCGAAAATGTTGGACTCAATTTTTGAAAATACTCCTGAGCCTGAGGCTTAATTTCCAAAAATGTGACCGAATAGCATTCTCACAACCGAGTCTCACAAACAGGTTTCATTGTATATAGTTTTGAATGTATGTCATATGCACAAGTGCTGATGCTGACGCACCAAGTATGGTACATTAAACAGCAAAAAGAATCAAAAGGTCATAAGGAAAACAAACCCCAACTATCCCAAATCATAATCCAACGTGAATCGAAACTGTCTAATACCCCCAACCCCACCATTCAAAGACAAATATCACAAAACATGAATAGAGAGCACAACACAAGGGATATTTCGTTCATTCTGACGTCGTTACAATACATGTTGAAGAATAAATCAAAAATTGATAGCCAGTTTAAGAGTGTTTTGGATCCAGGAATTAAAGAATTGTTCCATAAACAAATGATGTCTAGCTGCACAAATATTAATTTCCATGAACTTTATTCAGAGAATGGAAACCACAACTTGCAAACATATGTTAGGAAACAATGGGCCTGTTTAGTCTCAGCAATAAATACGATCCATTCTATTTTTGTTCAATACAATTAATTTCTAAACATTGTATTCCACATTTCATTTCCATTTTTGTATGTCGTGAGCATATACAAGACCACTGTCTGCTGTACCCTTCTAGAATAGTACACAGATAAGTTGCATCTGGTAATTTGCAAATTGTTACAAAAATGTAACACTCTATAACAGACGCTAGACGACGGTCATTAAAATGGCGGTTGGAAAAACGTAGGCCTTAAAAATCTTTTCATTTACACTGTTAAATTGTAACCATGATCACTATCAATCGTGATTTGTATTCGTCTGTTTTAATTATTACAGGTCCTTTGATAATAAAATCATAATGACAAGAGGAACTGGCGTTTAATCCCAAGGATTGTATCACACGAGAACACCTGATTCTAAGTTCTTAGTATATCGTATTGCACAGCGGGGCATGTTTTGTTTGATGGTTTTTGCAATTAATGAAATGTCATTCTCACTTACATTACCACCCCCGGGTTACTAGTCGACTTCATACTTGGTTATCCAAGATGAACAGAAATGTGACAATAAATTAAATGAAATATCAGCATATATCTCTTACACGTTAAAACATCGTTTAGAGGATCGAACTTACCAGATCCCCAGACCAGAACCAAGGCATATTATCTTGACATAGGAATACTTTTTGAAGCTCGGAATTTCAAGAATAAACTTGGAAACATGATCCATCTGAAAAACAGGTGTTAATTTGGCGAACGTTTCTAACTTGCCACGAGATCCTGGAAAAGATAAGACCTTACATACAATACACTCACATCATGTAATCCCGATTTTGTGGATAGTCTCTCTTTCAAATGTTAATGGAAATTTTGTAGCATTCACTTTGACATGGCAGCATTTTTATTGCTGATTTATGCTACTGCGACTGACTATACTTCATGATTTACCCAAGATAATCATTATATTTCATTTCAGGGCCAGTGGCATGAACTTGTTAGAAAATGGCTGTCTGGAGAGACCCGGAACGGAATTTAATTTATGTTTTCAATATGGAAAATAAGAAATGAAACGAGTTAGGTCTAGTATGGTTACCGAGTGGAGGGTATGCGGTTTTGTGTCATTATCTTCAATATGGATTATGGGGGTTGTCAACTAATTATTTTTGCACTAATAATCTCAAGACAGATGAAATATTTTATATGCGTTGTGCTTATTGAACAATAAAAATAAATAAAAACTTAATTAAAAGCTTGGATTAGTTTGAATTAATAATTTCTTGGAATGGATTCCCCTCGTTTAAAATACTGCTCTGATTTGATTAAACTATGATAATTTTCGCAACGAAAGTGACAAATGTCTTAATTTCTTGCATTTCTATACAATTTGGAATCGGGAATACATGCCTGCTGATTCGCCCCTTGCTTACTTATCTCTTTTTTATTAATTTCAAATTTCAAAACATGAGACATGAGCTTTATTCATGGGCTAGAAACACCTGCATAGACTGATGAATCTGTCTCCCAACAAGGCAATTAAATGTCTATGGGTTCTACCATACTAGAGTGGAAATGAAGAAAATTGAATTGAGAAAATTGTAAAAAGTAATCAACTAAAATATGCTGAGTGAAATGGCTAAATAATCCCAGGGACCTTCTACATGCAGGCTCGTAAACTGGCATGTTGAGCCAACAGATTCAAAAGTTGCCCATATTCTGTGTTTCTATTGTCACCCTTGGTGCCCTTTTCAGTACGTTGCTATGGTACCTATACAGTTGTTAATTGTTTGTTAAATATGAGCCAGGCCACAGGAAAAGGGGTCTTATCACAGATTTTTTCAATATTCTTATTTTTGTTTATCTTAAAAAGCACAAAGAGACCTTTCAAATGAGCCATGACTTATGTTTTAACAATTTTCCTCGCATATATAGACCAAAATGTCGGATTTGAATTTAGCACATTTCCCTCTTAATCTTGGGCACAATTTTGGCTCTGTAGAACAATTTTAATTTTTGTGATAAGACCGGGTTTCCTATGGCCAGGCTCATTGCTTATCTATGATACAAAATGAATCCACTTTCAGCATTGGTTGAGGCCAAATATGAACAATTTCTTTTTCTCAACCCTTTTAACATGTTTAATATATAAAAGAAAAAATCATTTGGAGAGTTATATGGATGAAGATAACCAGAACAAATACATATGGCAATGGTATCTTCATGTCTTTATTCCAGATGGCATGGGAATCCTTCATTATTTAATAGAGTAGACTAGTTATAAGGGCACGTAATAAAATGCCAATTATGAATAACATCAATCTTTTTATTTCTAACTGTGCTATGTACATACTAGGTATGTATAACAGTGTTTTCCACCAGGATTTCTCTCAACTCTTATTGTATCTTTTTCTATAGAAACTCAGATTGACACTCATTTCAAAAATGTTCTCCTGAAATGAAATATTTTGAGGATAAAAAGCTGAAGAGGCATAAGTATGAGTCTGGACCAACAGACCTTGAAATGCACAAGTTGGAGATCCCATGTGAGTTAATAAAAGTACAATAAAACCTGTCTAATCTGAACACCACTAGCACTAGCAATAACCAAAAGTATTCAGACTGCCAAATGTTCACATACCAAGGTTTTTAACAGAGAGGGCCTAGGGTCAATTAAAAAATGACACTAAAAAATCACATTGAGAGTTGTTGGTCACCAAACAGGTTTTACTGTGCTGATATTCACATATTTTTTGACCAATTATCTTATTTCATTATTGTGTACAATATGGAATGATGAAACTTGAATTAGCCAAGATTAGATTATGAGATTCCCTGGAAGGATCAGATTATTAGATCATAAGGTTATTTATATGGGGATACATTTTTTCATTTTTCTAAGAATCTATATACCTTGGAAATGTGTAGTAGAACAAATTAATAAAGCTTTGTTATTAATCACATTGTGAATTTATAGGTTTTTAATGGGATAAAATGTGAAAATGACAACATTTGTAATAAATAAATTATACCAGAGCAAAATGTTTTTTATGAGGTGTGCTTGATAGCTTAAAGCTCATTGTGGAAAGCAAATAAAACCTGAGAAATTCCTTTAAAATCCCCTGGCAATTCTTAGAGTTCCAAACCATGTGTAAATATCCCATGATTCCCTCAGCATGAACTGTGAGTTTCTTTCAATCTGATTGGCTCATTTGATATTGAGTTCATCCATAGTGATTGATAAAAGTACCTCATCTGGAATAGTCATATGTTCTAAGG